CCTCACGCATGCACACACACTCACTCACGCACGCACACACTCACGCACACACGCACACGCACGCACGCACACGCACGCATGCACACACACACATCATGCATGCACACGCACGCACACACTAATGCATGCACACGCACGCACACACACACACACTCACACACGTGCGCACACGCACACGCACGCACACTCACGAACGCACGCACGCACACTCATGCACACGCACACACTCACGCGCACACACACTCACGCACACACGCACGCGCACACACGTACACGCACGCACACACACACCCTCACGCATGCACACACACACTCACGCACGCACACACTCACGCACGCACACACACGCGCACACACACACACCTCATAGACACAAACAACAGTATGGTGATTATCAGTCACGCACGCACACACTCAAGCACGCACACACACGCGCACACACACACACACACGCACGCACGCACACGCACACACACTCACGCACACAGAACGAGGCCTCGGGAGCCACTGCTTCCTACTCAGAGTGCTTGGCTCAGCAATTAGCAACGGAATTACCGTTTCACAACCTGATAACGACTTCCACCAAAAACACGAACGGAAACTGCCCTGAACGCAGTAATTAACCAGCATTTCAGAAACACACCCCCAGCTTGTCCCCTCGTGCCAGAGCCCCCTCTCCAGGGCACAAGGGGCTCAGGACCCAGTGTGGGGACAGGGAGGCCACAGCCGTTCTCTGCACCTGCCCATCGGCCCCCAGCCGGGCTCCTGACCACCGCGGCCGACAGACAGCGAGAGCTCTGAGGCGTCCCTCCATGGAGCAGGCAGGAGTGGCCGTGATGAGGCCCGGAGTCGATTCTGATTCTAGAAAGCTCCAGGAAAGCGGCAAGGGGGTAGCGAGCTCCCGCGGACAGAGCGTAAGGTGAGAGCCCAGCCGACACCGCGCTCTGCGGCCACGGGCGGAGCCCAGAAGCCCAGGACAGCCCTGCGCCCCTTTCTGCCTGAGCCGGGGCGTCCATCTCCCCCCAAGTGCAGGCCCCTCACCCACAGACACCGGCGACGGCGGTAACACGCGGGGAGCAGAGAAACCCAAGGTGCGCGGTCCCGGGAGCCACCGCGCTCTCTGCCAACACCTCGGTGCCGTCACCAAGAGCTCAGTGGGCGGGAGGACCCAGCACCGAGGGCCTCGCAGGCCGACGGGCAACAAAGTCTGGGTGAGGCAGCAGCTGCTCAGAGGCCCCGGGCAGCACGGGCAGCCACTCAGGACGCCTAGAAATGAGCATTTTAGGGCAAGACCACGGCGAAGGCCATGGCCCACTTCCACTTTATCTGGCCGGGAAGTGACCACAGAAACGCGGGGCAGGGGCGGTGCTGGTGGGGTGCATGTGGGGGCTGTTGGGGGAGGACGGGAGGGGGGACAGGAATCGGTGAGGAGGAACCTACACGGGCAGGACGGGGACCTGCCTGCAGCCGCCCCTCTGCCAGGGGCCGACCGGAAAGGACCGGCCTGGGCTCCGGACCCAGTGGAGCAGCGGGCGGCTGGCTCCGTGCTGGCCCCGTGCTGGCGGGATTAGTTCTCTGGACACTCCCTCCAGCACAGCTGCTGACCGCAGGGACGGAGGGGAGAGCCCACGGCCCGCTGGGCGCACACAGCCTTCAGCCACCCTGGGCCCGGAGCAGGTTCCCAGAGCCAGTCTCCAAACCGGAACCTGGCCCGGCCGCACGGCTCAGTGATGAGCGTCAACCCAGGAACCAGGAGGTCACGGCTCGATTCTGGGTCAGGGCACACGCCCGGGTTGCAAGCTCCACCCCAGGGGGCCTGCCCGAGGCAGCTGATCCATGATTCTCTCATTGATGTTTCTCTCTCCCTCCCTTCCTCTCTGAAATCAGTAAGAAAATATGTATTAAAAACAACACCAGAACCCAGACCCTGGTCTGTGCGTGTTCATGTTAAGAAGCCTGGCAGAGGCTGTATGGCAGGGAGCTTTCCGGGCGGCTGTGTTAACGCTTCAGAGAGCAAACGCCAGCAGGAAGAGCAGAAGCTGGGGGAGTCGTGGTGTTTGGATGAAGCGTCCAAGTTCAGGTTTCGATTCCACGTCAAAACCATGATTCATTACAGGCCGGACGGCGCGTTAGGAGGTGAGAGGACACAGGGATCCGCGTTCCCCGCCCACCCTCCCGGCTCTGGCCTGTGGGTCTCCTTTCACACCAGCACAGCTGGGCGAGGTTTAATTTATCATCAACAGTCGCCAGAGGGACAAGGGCGACACTGGCCACTGGCGAAGGGCGTCTGGCCACGAAGGGCGTCTGGCCACGAAGTGCGTCTGGCCACGAAGGGCGTCTGGTCACGCCGTCAGCGGGGCCGGCGTGAAGACAGGCCGACACGGCTCTTTCCTCTCGCCGAGGGGGCACGCTTCCCCTCACCTTCCCGTGTTAGAAATTGAGGAGGATGTGTCCACGACACGAAATTGCACAGCACGTCCTGTTCGGCCTGAAGAACGTGTCCCACGACGGGAAGGAGCAGCCGCCGGGACGCAGTCACCGTCCGGGACCAGGGCCCTGCGGCTCCTCCGGGCGGGTCTGTCAGGGCTCGGACGCCGGGCGTGCCCCTTGCCAACAGCACGTCTCGGGTGCTGGCTCCACTCTGTCATTTTCCTCACACTCTGCCTTTGTAGTCTGGGTTTTTAAAGTATAGGGCCCATGGGGACTGGAGGTCTGGGGGACCCCATGAGAACTGGGGGGCCCCGTGTGGATGGGAGGCTCGGTGGCCCCGTGACGACTGGGGGTTCCGTGTGAACTAAAGGACTGGGGGGCTCAGTGAGGACTGGGGGCCCCGTGTGGACGGGAGGCTCAGTGGCCCCGAGTGGCTGCCCCCTGCCTCCCCCCGGAAGCAGCAGGACTCCGCCCGAATCGCAGAGGCAGCGAGCTCCGCCCGCCGGTCTTGGCGCGCCTCCTGCCCCTGGTCTTTCGGGAGCTGGACTGCGTCAGGAACGGCTAACGCTTAGGCATGCATCGCCCACACGTGGAGCAGCCACACGCCTGCTTTATCCAAGTTTCTCAGATTTAGAAAAACCAAAGGGCAGGTCAGCAAAGGAGAAGCCGGGGCAGAGGAGGAGCGTGTGGCTCTCAGAGGCCTGGCCGGGCCGAGGGGCCGGGAGGGACAGGGTGGC